AATAATAATAGAGTTAATAAAATAATTTTTAGTTAAATATTTTTCAATGGGGATAATTAGTCCTTACTCATTTATTTAACATTCTTTCTACAATAAATTGAACGGTTCAAACTGTTTCCATAAATCTACTTATTCATAAAACGCAACCATTTCTTATCTTACAAGATCTTCAATTTTTACATATTCAGGATGTTTCACAGAATCTATATTTTTCAAAAATCGCAGATAAAAGTCAAATAAAAAGAACATCGATTTACCGAATGTCGAAATGCTTTAAAACAGTTACAAAGTATATAATATTAAAAATTTAAGTTTAAGAATATTAACAATTAAAATAATATAATGGATTTAATTTAATCTTTTAAATTAAAATTTTAGAAAGAATCGGGAATATGTAATAGCATAAAATGGATTTCTTTTCAAATTATTGAATAGTTATTTTATTTTATGAATCTATAATCGAGAAATCTGCGATTTTTTAGACATCTTATAGATTTGTATAGATAATTAATATATTATTGTATTACATTTCGACATAAAAATGATAAAACTCCTTAGAACGAACTTATTTAAAGAGTTATATCCCATTTTCATGCGGAAATAAATATACACTTAAATCTTATATACGTAGCGTGTAATATTAATGCGTGAATTTGTTTAAAATACACAGCTCGTTTATAATCTAAACAGTATAATACGCGCGAAACAATTTGTCGAATGAAATTTATTCATGTATGACTGTGAGAATCCATATAAAAATATTCTATCTATTCTATCAATTTCTTTTTTCTCTTCTTTAAATTTAATGAATCTTCCGATTTTATTGGATTATCGAATTCCCTCGATTATTTATTGTCTGTTGCTTTATACGGAGGATTGTCCTTGTAGGAATTCAGAATTCATTTTAGAATTATTATTTTCGTCAATCTGATAACGATTAAAGTGTAAGAAATCCCTTCGTTTTTTAAATAAAGTAATTAAAAAAAAAAAAAAAAAAAACATTTTTATTCGCAACACAGTAATTCTATATATGTGAAGGTAGTTAGCTTATTATTTTAGAATTGTCTTTAAAAACACAACTTACAATTATGTTACAATAATAATTTATTAAATTTATATTTAATAGAGATAAAGCTATAGAATAAAAAAAAAAAAAAATTAAATTTATTGTATTAAATCTAGATTTAATTTAATTTGTAAAAGTTTCTCCTAAAATCACTGTATTGCAAATAAGGAAATCTTTCAAATGCATTAGTAGTGCAACCTTTTATGTTTATCGATTAGTAGAGTGTAAATAGAACCGATGAAAGATAATAGAGATGGATTGCGCACAGTATTAGATAAAGAGAGATAATAGACGAGTCATAGAGCTTATACTTTAGAATAATTAAAAATGCATGTACAAACGCGCTCTCTTGCTGAATATATCCCACATTGTATATATACAGGGTGTTATCAAAATATTTGGATAAATTATATTACACTGTATCAAAATCACTAATTTATAGGAATATTATAGTTTTTTATCAGTACAATATATATTAATAGAATCGATGATAGGTAAAATTGGATAAAATTATTTAAAAAAATTTATGATAAGATTAGTTGAACAGAATTATTGAATACAGTTTGATTAAATTTAGCCAAAGATTTTAGAAACACTCCATTTATGTACTCAAGGTAAAACTCTTGTAGAAAAATATAAAATTATGAAAAGACGTTTGAGCCGTCTCTCACGGTATACACTGTACTAACTTTCAATATAATGTATAATGCAAATGCTACATCATAAAACTAGTATGAGAAAATTTCGACGAAGATGAGATTCAATTTGCTATATAAGATACAATGGAGCTATCTATGGGTAATAAGACAATATCCAAATTTATCGCATGTGCGCATTGATGTATATAAACGTTACATTTGAACATTTATGAATGTATGTGCATTGTTTAACAGCGATAATTTTAAAAAATTTATATCAAATTATTCAAGCAGCCCCGCCATATCTTACTAATAATTAATGTAATTATGATATTAAAATATAATTTTCTAATATAAATTTAGAAAAACATTAACAAGCTTTTGTATAAGCTTAAGTTATAAAAGTTTATGTTTAAAATTAAGTTTTATCTGAAGCAATGTGCGCTCTTATTAAAAAAATTGTACAGATTGTCCAAATATTGCTTTATGGAAGAATATTGTGCATCACACAATTTAATTACAATCATTTGAAATTTACAAAACACCATGACTTTTCATATGACTAATATATAATTAAAACATAAATAATATAAGCTCATGTATATATGGCAAAAAATTATGCAATTAAAAACATATAATCATAGTCCAAGCAAATGTATAAATATTTCCAATTTCTACAATTATAGCTCGTGTTAATTTTAGATAAGGTGGAAAGCTCGTCGTCAAAATTCTGATAGGACTAGTATTAATCGGATGGCCAACAGTCTTGACTCTCCTGCATAACTTTCAATGTAATAAAATTTTTATTTCAAGTATTATAAGACGGAAAATTTATGAAAATATCATAAAACTAAAAAACTGCAAAATTTTTGTTTTGATATATTCATTATAACTTTAATAAAATTCGAGGCATGACAACTTTTTATGTAAATAAAAAATATTAAATAAAGTACTAAACAGTACTAAAAAATAATAAATAACAACCTCGTGTAATTACAGAATAAATTTGTAATACTAAAAATAATATGGAAATTTATTACAAAACAATTACATCAGATCTTCCTACAAAATCTTGTCAATTATGTAAAAATATTACTAGATATGGTCTCTATTTTATTATTATTCCCAAGTTTAACTTTTAAACCAAGATCAATTAAATAATTAAAGTATGTAAAACTCAAAATTTACTTTTTCAATGTAATTAAATTAGATTATAATTGTTTAATTCAAAGGAGTGCTGCTAGAACTGTTTTTTAAACTGTTTTGTCTTTAAAATTATATATGCCTATAGCAAGATTAACTTAGAAATAAAATTTCTGCAGGAAAATTCAGCATGGCAACTTTAGCGTAAACTCTATCTAAAAATGTAATGCTTACTTCTATTAAGAGACATATTTTCGTTACGCGTTTAGCGCCAAAGATGGGAGTGTTTGATTCTACTTTATATTTTAAATGTAATCTTAACAAAATGAAAAATACGTTTAGCTTTAAACGCGTGACGAATTATGCAGATTTAAATGTACAATCTTTTTGTTACGTCTAATGATTTAGCAGTTATTCGAACAATGCGAAAAATGGAAGTGCCGTACAGCTTTCTTTTTTCATTAATAAGGCTTATTGGTCCGGTTTTATTAATAAGGGCAGTAGTAATATATTAACTTTTCTAAATCCTGATAAAACCTGATAAATTCCGGTATTTTTCAAGAGATCTCTTGTGAAACGATCTTATTCTGGTCATTAATGCGTACTTTACATGATCTTATTTATTTTTCCATAACTATTTCTCCTATCAACAGGACATTAAAAATGATTAATCAATCCAAAAACTCCAAGTCACGCTTATATAAAACATGCATTACTTTGAAAGGTTCTTATTTAATTGAAAGCTTGTCTTCATAATCTGCTATTTAAAGAATTGTATGATTATATATGTATATGTATTTTCAACATATATGTAAACATTTCGAAATGTTTCTCTTATTTCGTGTTAAAGAGCAGTAGCCTCAGTATTTCCGCTCTTAAAATGTTTTTTTTTTTTTCTTAAGGAATAGAAATTGCTCATCTTTAACTGTAATAAGAGAAACGTTCCAATATCTCTCAATTTTCATTTCTTTTCTAACTCCTGAGTAAATAGAAGTATATCGCAACGCTAAATTTCATCTTTAAAACAATCAAAACGTCACGTTGGCCACCACACTTGGCATTGCCATGGAAAATAGGATTCCTGTAAAGATCCCCGTAATTAAAGATGCTGCCCCAAACATGCCGGCCGTCGATGCGTGCTGCGAATCCACCATTCTAAATACACAAAGTACATATTATTATATATAATTTCTACATTCTTTTATTTCTTATATCGTATATTATTCATTTTAATAATGTAATTACGTTATAATATAAGTATATACAGAAATTCTCATATATTTTAGCTTTTTCTCCATTTTTTTATTAACTATACTTACCTAGGACAGTACATCATTGATAATGATGACAGATATCCGCTACTGAAGCCCATAGTAATAGCAATGATCCAGAAAATCCAATCATTATCGATAAATATGGGTAGTGATCTCTCTATGCGAGCCGGTTGGTAGTTGCAGAATAAAAACAACGGTAAGTAAGCAAATCGCAGTACTACCGGAATCACCAGATATTTCTGGCTGGGCTGTAAAAAAAGCAACTCATTAAATTGTACAATATATATCTAAAATATTTTATTTATAAATATATAT